CATGAAGTCCTGGAAGAAAACTTTCCAAACCTAGAGAGGCATTCAAATATCTAGACTCAAGAAATACATAGAATCCCACATAGAATCAATCCAAAAAGATATTCTTCAAGGCACATCATAGCCAGATTGACCAAAGTCACAGACAGAAACAAGATACTAAAATTGCCAAGAGAGAAATGTCAAGTTACTTTCAAAGGATATCCCATTAGGCTAATATTGGCCTCTCATCAGACACAATGCGAGCAAAAGAATGGGAAAATATATTCAAAGAATTGAATGGAAAAAATTTCAACCAAGAATGCTATATCCAGCAAGATTATCCTTCATGTGGTAAGAGAAGACAAGAACATTCTCAGATAAACAAAACGTGAAAGAATCTACCAACAACAGATCAGCTCTACTAGAAGTTCTGAAAGGAGTGCTATAGCAGGAAAACTAAAGACAGACAGACAGAAACAACAGAGTCAAAAAAAAATGACCAAGAAAAAGGCCAACTTAATGGTAGAGACAAGTTTGGAAATAATAATAACGTTGAATGTTAACTTCCAGAATTTTAATGGAAAGATTAGACCACAGTAACACTGTAAATTCAACAAAGGAGAGATTACATAAGATTGAACTGGTGACTTAGAATTCTATGACTTTTGTCTAAAACATGACTGATTTTCTTCTATGCTTTGTCTTCCAGATTTAAGGATTTGATTGTTTTTTGTTTTGTTTTGTTTTGTTTGTGGTTGATAGGTTCAGCAATTTGTTTTAAAATTTTTTTAATTGAAACAGAAACTAGGGACCAGCAGTTAGTGTAATGGCTATGTGGCTGGACTCCCATGTAGTCGACCGCAGTTCGAGTCCCGGACCCGGTGGTTTAAACTCACACAGGGCATGTATGCGTGCGTGCCCAGGATCCCGAGAGGAGAATGGAGGAGAAGGAATTGTGGCATGGGCATCCCCCCTGGGGGGTGATTTCTCGCTTGGCTGTCCAGCACACTTTCCCTATAGCAAAAACCTCTCCAAAAAAAAAAAAAAGAAAGAAAAGAAAAGAAAAGAAGAAAAGAAAAGAAAGAAACAGAAACTATTCCCCCTTCCTGACCCTTTGCAGTTGGAAAATATTTGTGAGCATTCTTATTTTGTGGCAGAATGGTTATTGCATAAATTCAATAATACAAGAGTATCTGTTGCCTTGCATCAGAAATTGAATTATTATGGGGCTTTGTGCAAATAACAGACCAAATTGAGATTAACCTAATTATTTTTGCAAATAGGTTAGTTAATACCTCTCTTTACTGAAAGGAGGAATGGAGAGAGAAAAAAATATATTTCAGAAGAAAATTACAGTGCACTTGTCACTAGATTCTAGCTTTGTCCAATATTTTTGGTTTAAGATCTTCTGTGAATCAATAAAATGTGAAAAAATAGTATGGAAAGGAGGGAGGGGAAAGAGGAAGGAAAAAACAAGTAAAAGTATGCTTAATTGACCAAAAAGTGAGAAGCTATTGCTGATGATAAAGTATATAGTACTATCTTTGTCTTGACTGACACGCGTGGTATTTGTACTAGAAAAAGAAATGTGCGCTGTAAAGACATGTGATTAAATGTAGATAAACAAAAATAAATTTTTAAAAAAAGTGACTGAGAGACTGGGTCTGAACCAGTTGGAACCAAGATGGCACCTGGAACCACTGCTGCCTAACCTTCAGACTCACTATACCCTTACTGTACTGTATCACTCACAATGGTTCAAGGAAAACCATTGTCTCTTTCCCAGAAAAGTCATGATTAAACTGCCCTTACTTTGGCATTAGGCCAAGTCACATAAGCGAGACACCCATTGAAGTGCAGAGCTGCCCTGCCTATGGGGTAGCCCTTCTGTCTTTCCTTTCAAGTAACTCTTCTCCCCTTCCTCTTGGAGAAAGAAATTATACTGTTCACCCATATCCTCCTGTGGGGCTGTTCCACCTGTGGAGGAGTTATCTCTGCTCACTTTCCTTAATAAATCTGCTCTCACTCTCCCTCAGTGACTCACTCTGGACTTCTTTCCTGTGAGAAGCGAGAGACCCTCACAACGTGGGTAGAAAACTCCACAGGTTAAGTCTCCCTGGCAACAGCTTTAGTCCTTCAACTCATGCTTATGAAATTGAGTGTTCTCCAAGCCTAAGACCTAATGCACATTAATAAAGCAACCAAATCCTCAACGAAAAAATCCTCAAGCAAAATATATTATTTCAGTATATCTATAAGCTAAATGCCTTTTCATTTCACAAAAATGAAAAGTAAAACACATAATATCTTTAATAAAAGCCAAGTCATAGATAGGCCACGTAATCTTGAATTTTCAAGAAAAGTAGACCATTCATTTTAAATAAATGCCCCTAAAAAAATGGCATGGCAATGAAATCTTCTTATACATTTTCAAAGGTATAAACACATACATGCCAGGAATAGCACTTCATTTGTTTTTATATCAATAGATGTTCCCATAGTAACAAATTCAACTTACAAATTCTTCTTTTAGTCCAATATAGTCTATTGACAAGTTTAATATTACATTGGCCAGTTTCACTTCTGCTAATGCCAACTGAAAAGCTTGCTAGTGCTAGAGAAAGTATACTGCGCAACCCAGTGATTTTCCAAGTCAGAATGCCAGAAAGGTGCCAAATTCAATATCTCAACATTCTTACCTCTAAAATAATCATTTTAATCAAATCTGCTTTAAAAAAAAACTCACTTCTATAATAGAGTAAAATCTTACTAACAGTTGGAAGCAAGGAAGGGAGAGGGAAAGAAAGTAATAAGCAGACATTTCTAATTAATCACTTTTTTACATCTTGTTATCACACATTAACATTCCAATGTCTCCTCAGACTGTTAATTAATGTTTTACAGTTATCGCTATTCAAAAAAGTGAGGTGTTGATGTAAGAGCAAATGGAACCTCCAAATGCAAATAGAAACGCTGCACATAAATGAACAAATGAGCCCAGTTAGTCGGGGCTTGTCATCCTTAAAGGGGCTGTCACATCCAAGCTCTAGCCACTTTCTGACACAAAGAATATGAATTTAATCATATCAGGTCTTCCTGGTGTTCCAAAGAAGCTAGAAATCTGCATTTCCAAAAAAAAAAAAATCCTAATTTTTCAATATTGGATTTTTTTAGAAGAATTATTTTATTTTATTTTATTCTTTTTTTTAATTTGACCACAGAGAGAAAGTGAGAAAGCAAGTTGCCAAGTCCAGGAATCAAACTATAGTCAGGCATTTGGGAGTCCAGTGCCTTAACCACCACACTCCCTGCCAGTCCAAATATTGGATATATTTTTTTGGGGGGGAGAGAGGTCCAAAACTGCATGTCTGTAGTTGGATCTAGCCAACTAGTTTCCAGTTTGCAATCTCTACCTTATACAGAAATTTCTGTCTTTATGCAGTAACTACAATGTCATCAAAGATCTCGTATGAAAAAAAAAAAAGAAAGAAAAGATCTACTTGTATGGTTAGGGAACCTCAGGGTATATGCCATTAGAAAGGGCAGAGACTAGTGGGGCTACCACCACTCTCTGGCCCTCACCCTGGATGGACCTCCAAGACAGCATCTGCACTACCTTATTTGTTGAGAAGTCTGTCTACTACTAGCAGACTGGAAAGTTCTTGTATGCGAAGCCACACCCTATTCATCTTAGTTTTCCCAGTACAAAATAAACATATTTGAATGAATGAATAAGTGAATGAATAAGTAAACATCAAATCAATATACTCTTTGATGTCATTCCTCCTCCTTTGTTTTCTAAGGGGAAAGATTATTTCCAGCGACTCTATGTTTCAAAATTGAGTTGCTCTATTCAGTTGCTCTGAATATGAGGTTGTTGGCAAAGTCAGGATATATTTGTTCTATAGAAAAATGCATCATGACTTCTCTGACAACCCAACAGAAGAAATGGTTGCACAGACCAATGGTTAAATTATTTTGCAGTAGGATTTTTAAATTTCCACTGTTAGATTAATGCCAAGACACAAGTATTTCAAACAGCTGATATGAGACAGAAAAGAAGTCTTAAGAAGGAGTAGGAAATGTAGTTGAGAAATGAGTTCCCCAGTTGGATGCATCTATGTGATAAAAGAATCCTGCACTGACTGTAGACAGGTTAAGTGTCTAGTGTGGCTGTGGTGGTCGTAGTCATCATTGTTTAAATGCACTTGAGGAGGCCACTTTCTTTTCTGCTGGATGCCTCCCTAACTGTGAAGTTGCAAGTGCAAGTATGGAAGGAAAGTAGGAATTCCTGGTGGAACTGGGTGATAAGAATAAAAAGAAAGTTCATTCCATGTTTCTGTGCAAATGGGAATGTTTTTAGTTCAGATTAAAAAGAGGCCCCATTTAGAGTTCTTATCATTTGTCAGCTAGCCAGTATCTTCACTCTGCCTTCCCTCCATTTAATATGCACTTTGTTCTATATGCTTTGTAATCTAAAGTCTTTCTTTAAATAGGAAAGTTTTCCAAAAATTTCATAGAATAAAAAAGCATATTGTGAAAAAACTACACATGGGTTTCAAATATTTTCCACCGAAATATACTCGTACTTCAATTTCATTTTCCTATGAACTCTTGGAAGTCCTCACATCTAACCTTGAAAAAAAAAAATTCATACTCTGGACCTATGTATATGTGTTTAAGCCTTGGCTATAAAAACTATTTCTGGTTAACTCTCAGAAAATAGTTCAGTGGGCACTTACAGCTTAATTATTACCAAACAAGTAAGAACCATAAGTTTTCTACAATGTGTAGAGTTTGGCAATGCAGAGGCTTGCCACTGAGGAAGGCTTAAATTTTCTGAACCAGCACTGGGTACCCAGGAGCTGACAGCTTTGAGTAAAGTTCCAGGGATGATGCAAGAGAATATCTGAAATAGGAACAACTTAGAAAATTAATGATGCCAAAGTAAGCAGGTGTGGATACGAAAGAGAGAAGCTTGCTAGCTTGGTTTGAGGCATAAAATACAGAAACATTCTTACCAGAAGAGACGGTGGCGTTGCCTGAAGACTTACACTTTGTGTGTTCCAAACTAGCTCCTCAGTCTGGGAAAGCAAAACTCCTTTCACTGAGGAAAGAATGATATTAGAGAACATTTTAGTTGAGATATTATCATATCTAAGGTGTTACAATAACTAAATACCAAGCTCTTCCTCTTTGTAGTTTGGATTTTGTAGAATAAATGGGGTTGACTTGCTTAGAAAATGTTTGCTACTTTATTCAGATATTTTACTTATATTAGAATAATCTGTCTGAATTATAAGAATGTAACATAAAATAAAGATTCTTCCCATTATTGCATTTAGGACATCCCTATAGTTTATTTTCCTTTCCTTTCTCAAGCCATTATTTAATTCCTTTCAAGATTCCTAGGAAGCCATTATTTTTTAATTGATTTGTTTTTTTCATTTTAAAAAAGTTGAACTGAAATGTCAACTTTCTTGGTTGGTATTAGAATGGCATGAAAATCTGCAAAATGATTTTCCCTTTTGGAAGAAAGTGTCCTTGAAAAACAGACTAGGGCACTCGATATATACTGAATGTCTGCACTCTGGCAGACACTGAAAGACTGAAAGGTGCAAAAGCATGGAGAGCAACTGTGGATACCAGAGACAGTGTGGGAGGAGGGTGGGGGATGGCAGAGGATGACAGGGAGGAAATCAAGGGGAAAAAGAAAGAAGCAGAACATTTAAGGGAAACAAAAATGGGAAAATATCTGTTGATAATAATGGGTATGGAAATACCTTTGACTAGACTAATATAGTGTATTTGTGCTGGAAAAATTCATTTTGCATGTTATAATTGTACACAGTGATTGAATGTAAAATAAAAAGAAAGTTAATAAAAAGAAAAATGGACTAGGGCACCAACAATCATTACTGCTATAACAATATTAAAGAATAAAAAAGGGAACGGATTGTATGATTTAATTCAATGAAGATGTGTTGTATCCTTGCTAGTTGCCATAAACTTTTGAAAGTCAAGGTATAAGCATTAATAAAGCCAAGCTTGTCTTCTGGAAGCATTTCCTTTATCAAATAGAAAAACACGAATTATTAAATGATATGCACAGGAACACAACAAAGAAGCAAATGTATTTGCCTAGAGGGGAGAGGCAATCAAAATCTGGAAGGAAAAGGGATGGGGAGGTTACCAGGAGGATAATCTGGTATATGTAATAAAAAATAGAAGCAGCTTCTGCACTCATTTATTCCCACTGACCTGACAAGGAGGGACTAGCCAGAAACTGTATTTGGTTTAAGTATTTTCCAAAACTCTTTTTAACTGTGTAAATGTACCCGATATCTTGTCTTCTATTGAAAACTATCTGCATGAAACCAAGGATGGTCATATCTTTTAAGATGAGATTAAATTACCTAGAAAGTTGTAGCCATTCAGAACTTTGAACTCAGAAGTTAGCATGACAATAGAAATAGATCTTAGGGGGGAAATTCTGATTATTTGGACCATACATCTAATGAAAGGCCAAGGCATGTAAGTGAACAGGACACCACGTCTCTGAGAGTTAAGATGCCGCACACTAGTAGGTCAGGCTCTTAGCAAGTGTTAGTCGTGTCACCTGCTAGCCTTTAAATCCAGAGTGGTCACCCTCTCCTTGATAATCCTAGATCCACCTGTTCACACTGGACGAGAGCTACATCTCCACAGCTATTTAAACTCAGACTCAGTATTGGATTCTCTAGGATTCTGCCCAGAACTCATTATCATTTTTTCTTCAGCCAAATCTTCCATTAACTTTCCAGAGTCGTTCCTTGTCTTCTGCTCTCTGACTTTAAAGCCTTGACCAGCTGACTTGTCCGGGGAGAGTTTCTGTCTTGGTTGCCAGGGTAGCACTGTAGCCAGTTTCAATTCATATTTCTGAGTACTACTTTCCTTTTCCTCATACTTTGCTCCTATGTCTCTAAATCATTTTTAAATGCAATGCCGTGTCAAGTCTGTGCCCAGTCTTTCTCTAGTCTATGACCTTTTGTCTACAAATATTCCAGAGAACCCTGACTAATCTACCCAAAATAGCTGCACGGCTAAAGCTCCATTCAGATTAGGATGGATCCTGTCTTGTACAAACTAGGGAATATTTAAAAGCACCTATATTCAGGGAAACTCGTTTTCACCAGAGCATACTGGAAAAGAAACAACATTAGTTTATTTTATTGTATAATGTTAATATAAGGACTCCATGACGGATATCAAACTCACCATTGATCAGCTGAAGGGAATCAGGATCTGGATTCAATGATGAGTTCCCCAGCAAAAAACTCTGGTACAGTGTCTCAGCAATATAATCTCTGAAGTTACTAATTGTATAAACAGCAGTGGGTTTATCATCCAATTCCACAAGGCCATGGTTTTCCACCTTGTTGGAGTGAAGGCTAATTAGGTCCCAGGTGGTATTGCTGATGGCCTCACCACTGAAGGTAACTGCATAGTGAACATCTATGCCACTATGGATAAAAAGAGGACAGATTAGGTCCAGCTAAGGAAGCACAGGGACAGGAGCTCTGAACCCATGGAGGATAAACATTAGACCAAGTGTCTTAAAAAGCATGGATTCATCGCCCAGGCTCTGAGCACCTTTTGCTATTCCCTCTTCATTGCTAGCGGATGGACAGGTAAAGAGTTCCAACAAGTCTTAGAGGTAACTCTGCAGAGTCATCCAAGCATCTTCTTCCCCCTTATTTCCTCTTTCTCGACACTTCTCTCTCTTTAAGATCTTTCTAACTCTTCCCAACAATAGGAAATCCTCTCATATCCCTTTATTATTGTTTCTGAGTGAATTATATATTAAAACATGTCTCAGTGATTTTCTTTTTAAAAAGATCATGCTAAAATAGTCTATAAAATGCCAGTTATTTGAGTCTTTCAGATGTACTTTTCTTTCAGAGTCCAAACAATTTACAGTCTATAACAGTCAAGATTGCTACAATTGCTAAAAGCTATTATATGACACAGTACATAATATTATATTATAGAAGCTATTGTAATAAAATATATAATTTTATTCTTGGCCTGGTAGGAAAGATTATTCCAAAGCATATGAGCTTATTACTCTCCTGGGCATCATTCAGAGAACTTCAAAAAGTTCTTGGAAAGATAGAATTAAAGTACGAGTTTATTTTGCTGCAAAAAAAAAAAATGTGAAATCCATGCATGCAGTTTTTTCATAATATAGTATTTTCCATGAACATTGTATAGATTTCTTGTATTGTCTTTATCTTTCCCAATTAACTATATCAATTAGTTCTTCAAATGTTCTAGAAAGTAGTCCTCATTTTATTGCTGACTCTCTCAATAATGAATTAAATAAAACTTTATCAGATAATAACAAATAGATTTAGAGAATTAGAGTTTTTTCATCATCCAACTTTATGACAAACAAAAGAAAAGCTTCTTGAAATAAAGGACAGACAGTAAATAAGTAGGAGTCAATGTGTTACCTGAGAGTTTCTTAAACTGTCATTTGGAGAAATAACATCAGAAAATAAAATTTCGAAGATAATAAGATTAGAGGATACAGAAGCATAGAAAATGGTTATGGACATTAGAGACAGTGTGGAAAAGGGGTGGGAGATGGAGGAGTGAGAGGAAAGGAATCGAGGGAAAAAAATAGGGAGGCAAGACATTTGAAGGACACAGAACTGAAATATTATTTATGATAATGTGTATGATATCTTCAACTGGACTGGTGGTAAGTGTTCATATTGGGTAAATTCATTTTACAAGCTGTAGTGAGATACAGGATTGAATGTATAAAATAAAGTAATAATAAAAAAAGAATATTCCTTCTAGACTCTAACTCAGCTTTCTCTAACAACTAAAATCTAGCATTTTGTAAATGTTTGTAATGTACAGTCATCCTACATGCTTATATGCCTTATCTCATTTTTTTAAATAACTTGAGAGAAAATGGAAGAATATGAAAGATTTACAGCTGAGTGAAGCAAGTCAGGCTGTGAAAGAGAGACATTATATATCTGTATTTAATTTATACTGAATGTGTGCACTCTATGGCAAAAACTAAAAGATTAGAGATACAAAAGAGGAGAAAACACCTCCCCAGAGACCAGCTACTCAAGATAGACACAATGGAAGCAATCTGCCACATTCAGACATTAATGGCAAAATTACTCCTAAATCAAAGCATAAAAATAAGTTAAATGTGTCTTCTTCTGAATTTACTTGAATATTCTCACATATTCCTTGATTATAGCCATCATTTTTTTTAATTGTTTACAGTGACTGCCTTTTGGTCTCTCCTTGAGGTTGGTACCTGGCATTGGGAGACATCTAGTGCCCACTAAATAAACAGAAATCTATACTTGTCTAAATATAAGAAGGAAAACTGCAGCCTAATCAAGGTATGTACAAATCTAAAGGAAACATCATCATATCAAGTAAGATATCATGAAGTCGAGGGGGAAAAAATTAGTTGATTGATTTTTGTTACTATTTAGTGGAAAACTTTTGACCAGTGCATTGGGGCTTCCTTGAAAAACTGATCCCTAGGTTGGGCATGGCTACAACAAGCTGGCATAGATATTGGCAATCAAGATCATACAGTTTTCTTTTACCGATTTCAAATTTGCAAAGGGAACTTTTTATTATAACTCTCTACAGATTTTCCTATGGAGAGAAAAAGAGCTAGCCAGACAATACAACAGGTTTGTGGTAGATGTATTTCTCATTTTAAATGTATCTGTGAGCACCCTAGATAACTCAAGGTCTTTTGTGTTTTAGTTTCCCATACCAGAACTGGTTGGTCTAGGCCTGGTCTAGACTGCAGGTGCAGATCACACCCTTGGATGCCCAGGACACTATGAAGATGACACTCTCCCTTGTCATATAAGCAGTCAAGCCTCTGTGAAGTTCCTGTCCCACTCTGAATAACTTCAATATTGTTTTTCTCCCAGACCTGATAAGCTGCTTCTTCTGACAAGGTGATTTATGGCTCTTAGAGTGGTAGCTTTGCATTTTGGCACCCTGCTCTAAGTGATAAAATCATCTGCTAGTCATCTAGAACTTTCTTCAATCTCTTAAGCAGTTAAGGGCTCTTAATTTTGCACATTAGAATATGTTTATTCCTAGGTAATTTATTTCTTTGCAAAGAAATACAATATGCTAAAATAACCAAGTGATGGTTCCAAGGTGGACGAAAACAGTAAGAAGGACACTTACTGGTCAGAGCCCAGCCCTGGCTCTTCAGGAGCCTATCATTCTGATGCACTGGTAGGCCACAGCCACCAAGCACTGCTGTCTCTACATCTTCACCCATAATTTCTTTCTTTTATGTCTGTAATTACTTCCTGTCCTATATGCCTTCCACATACACACATCCTTCTTCTCTCAGCCATTTCTTTTTTGTCTTAGCTCAGATGTCACCCCCCCCCAGAAGAAACCTCTTTCTAATGCTAAAGATATGCTTGGTGTTTATGTTCTCTCTCTACCACCAACTACACGGGCACAAGTATTATTCAGCACTGTGTGCAAGAATCTATCACAATGCTGGCTCATGGTAGTACAATACATACTTTTGAAAATAACAGAGGAAAATGATTGATTTTGTTTACTAATGCAGGTAAATAAGAAGAATTTGTGCTACTTAAATGATAGTATGTGATCCTCCTGATTTAATCTAAGCATTTTCAGACTTTAAATAGAAGAACCATTTTTCACCCTAAAGTGGTGAAATTCATAAATGCATGTTCTGAGTAATCATTTCAGAACTATTGTTTCATGGCCACAGCCCAACTCTGTGAGGATATGCATGCTCTTCTCAAGTTCAATGAGATGCACTGTACCTACGTCTCCAGAAAGGTGGGCTTCCCCTTGGGGTTTTGTACAACCTATTAAACTTACTTCCAGTGTTAATATGACCCTAAAACACAAAACAGTAATAAGGGGAAGAAAAGGCTATGTCAGCTAACACAAGTTGGTTCCTGAGCTATATAGAAAATGAGACAAGGAGAGTGAAGCCACATGCCTTCCATGACTTTCACACAGTATGAGGAGAAGATCAAGAGAGACGTTTCTGACTCAAAAAATCTACACAAATCACGCAATCTGGGTTATATTAATGCCTTTACTCTTTACTGGCAAAAATTTATTTGATTTTCAGTGTTTTACTGGACATCTAAAAGTAAGTTCTATTATAATCTACTTTGTTTAGTGAAGATAAACTCATTAAAGAAGATAAAATGCCGGGAACCAGCAGTTAGCGTAATGGCTATGTCGCTGGATTCCCACGTAGTTGACTGCGGTTCGCGTCCCGGACCCGGTGGCTTAGAATTCACGCCGGGTGCGTGTGCGTGCATGCCCAAGATCCCGAGAGGAGAATGGAGGAGAAGGGATTGTGGTGTGACCATCCCCCTTGGGGGGTGATTTCTCGCTTTCTGTCTCTATGTCTCTCTCGGTCTGGCGAGCGCACGCGCCCTATAGCGAAAACCTCTCAAAAAAAAAAAAATGCCTCCAACAGGTGCTATCATATGTTACTATGTCTTTATCTTGGCAAGAAAACTCTAATAAACACTTGAGATACTAGAAAACCATCTACTCTCAGGGTCAAGAACTTCACTGTGACACAGAACACACTGAGTTCTGGCATGGTAAATGGAATGTCTAGATGTGTCAGGAGGAGGGACAGAATAATAGACAGCTGAGAGGCCACAGAAGTACAGAAGAATACACACTGGTAGACAAAACAGTATCTGACTGAGAAAAGCTGTGCCGACTCTCCACACTCAGCACCTCCAAGTTCACAACCACCACTGTATCACCATCCTTCGCCTTCTGAACTGGACTGAAACAACTGGTACACAGAGGAGAGGCTCTGCATCCAACATGTGTTTCCAGAGACACAGTCATAGGGAGGTGAAGTTCACCCTTATTCTCTCACCTCAAATGCCCTGACTAACTATCTGACGTGTAACTTAAAAAAGAAAATATAATGGTCGCACATCTCAAGATCAATGAAAATAAGGATATTTAGAGAATCTCAGATGTCCTTCTATGATACCTCGTCTAGGAAGAGGTGTGCACTTTCAAAGCCTGAAGGTGAATTTATGATCATGTACACCAGATAACTACATCATTAATTCACTTTAAATAGGTCCTACTAACTAACCTAATTGAGTGCATTTTGAAAGAAGTACAGGGAAGCCGCGTGGGGCGCCCGGCGGAAGCCGCGCGGGGCGCGGGAGCTCATGCCCCCGGAGCAGCGGCGCCCGCCAACGAAAGAAGGCCCCCGCAGAAGCAGCAGCCACGGCGCCCGCCCATGGAAGACAGCCCAAGGG